TCAAGAACCCATTTACAGATCCCACATTTGCATTCTATGTATTATAACACTCACATAGAGATACTACTCTACAATTCAGTGGCACCACAACACAACATACAGCGAAACCAAATAGTCTGATTTCTGAATTAATTACTTCTAAGAGGTGCTCATTTTCGTGAATCAAAACTATACAGCACAACCAGTGTAGTCCATTTCTCAAACAAATTACTCTTATGAACTGGTTCTTGTTAGTGAATCAAAAACATACAGCTTGACTGGTGTAGTCCAATTCCCGAAAAAATGACTGCAATTAACTAGTTCTTTTTAGAGAATCACAAACCTACAACACGACCAGTGTAATCCAAATCCCCCAAAAAATGACTCAAAAATCATAATCACAAGTTTGTTTACAAAAAACATTTGGTGTTAAGTTCAAACTTACAGATACATAATAACCAGGCTGCTCATGACCAGGATAAAGCGGCTCACACTGGAATAGAAGTACACAATGCTCAGGAAGACACCCAATCGGGATGCGGTGTACACCCAATCTAGCCAATCGCGGTTCATGTCCTCGTCTTCCATCACAGGACCACCCTGTGCATTCATTCGCAGATTCTGATTGGCTCCCTCTGGGTTGATGAATGCAGGAGCTGGGGCATTCTGATTGGCTGGCAGGTCGTTGATGGGGCCTTGATTTGGTAATGCTGCAGGTACAGCAGCTTGATGAGGGCCAACAGGGAGTGAGGAAGCAGGGGCGGCCATTGGAGTGGAGGCGGCGGCTGCCATGGCCGCGTGACTGAAAGACACATCACAGCATTAAACACAGTCAGGCGGTTAATTTGCAGAATGAACACCAGTGTAATACTCTAGTAGACCTGTACAATTAATCATAAACCAAATCATGATATTGGTTTTTAATTTAAATAACTGGAATCTATAAATATTAGTACTGTAATTTTACACTTATGTACAATCAAGTTATTTTATTATATAATATTTCTTAATTACTCTTTATTTTACAGGGAAATACAAGTTAGCAATAATTAAATATAAAAATAATATAAGAAATACCAGTTTGCAATATCAAGCACCATAACAGCTAAAAATAACTGGAAGCTATAAATATTAGTATCTGTACCTTTACAGTTATTATATACAATCAAGTTATTTTATTACATAATTTTTTCCTAAATACGCTTTATTTTACAGGGAAATATTAGAATAGTAATACATTTCTTTTTCTGTTTAGTAATAATAATACAGTTAAAACAGGCCAAATTGTAAAGCCCTACAAACAAGCATTTTAAAAATCGCAATTTTAATCAGGAAAATCGCAATTCAATTTTTTCCCAATAATTGTGCAGCCCAATACCGTAGAATGTCTACGTAGGGTGTACTTACTATTGCATGTAATACTGGCGGGCATACATCTGCTGCAACCACAGGAGCTGTTGTGGACTGTAAAGGGAGTACGTGGGAAAGGCTGGGTGGGCCATCGCTGCTGTTACAGGCCTGCAAACGAAGGCGAAAATTTAATTAACTAGTACAAAACACTACACAATTTACACATTAACATTCATACACTTTCAATACTCATTGCACTGAATTTTAATTTGAAGGGAAAAGACAGGAACTCACATAGACGTGTTAATGCTAGTGCCAGGCCAGGCGGCATGACCTCGCTGTCTAAGGCCGTCCGTGGAGGGTACAGATGCCACGGATGGTCCTGAAGACTCTGATCTTTGGCTAGCAGTTAGTGGGGAGGGCTGGGAACTCTGCTGCTGTGTTGATGTCACCTACACCCAAGATTTGAGAAAGAAACACATTTGATTTTTGAGTAAGAAAACCAGAACAGGTGCAAGACACTATGAAACTTCATTTGAGAACTGCTGCAGTGTTTGGTTTATGCAAAAACGGATGCAGAAAGGAACAGGAAGTAAGCAGCTGTGTGGTGATATCTCCACCCAACTGAAACAAACACAGCCTTCCCTTGAGAGACAGTAGGCCTACATATCTGTACAACATACAACATATTGCAAGCTGATCAAACATACTGCCTTGAAGCTAAATTCAGGACTTGACAACTAATAAGTGGATTGTCTGTTTTGACAAGTACCACTAAATAAGTCTTGCCACTTGGTAAAAGTCTAAAATAAATAGTAGATGGGAGTAACACACCTTGGGTCTCGCTCCAAGTTGGGCAGCAGGCTGGGGTTTCACAGCACACACCAGGTGAAGAGTGGGCTTTGTCTCTGAAGGAACCTGTAGGGAAAAAAACAGTAGTTTTTTTCAGTACTTTTGGCAGAAGCATGTGGCAACGACATGCACCAAGGGAAACATTATTAGTGTAAGATAATTAAAAACGTCACGCAAACTTTGTTTACAGGTCTGTTGTTGAAGTCATTTGTCAACCCTGAAATAAACAAAAAGCATCCTCACAGATAGCAAAGTCCCTCACCTTTGAGAAAACATCTCTCAGAAGCAGGTTGTCCTGAAGCAGCTTGCCTGAGTAAATGAGTCTTTGGTCTTTCTCAGCCTGTGAAAATGAGTCCAAATGTCAAACATGGCCTAGAAAGTCAATTTACACCATGATATTTATCTTATGTTTGTGAGAAGTAAAAACATTTTTAGAGGAAATACATTCAGTGTATCTCTTCACAATCAAAGTTTGCACACGTACCTACTGAATTTGTGTCCATGTAACGCAAATAGCTACACAGCACAGAAATAATGTGCTAAATTATTAATTACCTAGCAATATGAAAGCAACCTAGAGACTTATGGAGTGCAAATTCATCTTGTTTATAGAAGGCAAATGATTGACAGTCAGTTATTTCCAGTAGCGTTCAGCCATACTGGCGTTGTGTTGTCTGTTGAGGAATGCTAACGGCTCTCTAAGTGTAAGACTTGATATCTATAGCATAAGAAACCAATCAAAACCTACCGGGTTGGTGGGATAAACCTTGGAAAGATGACATTTGAGGTCTTTCACGGTCCAGTCCACGCGCACTCCATCGATCAGCTGATCGCCGTGAAACTGATTAGGCGTTTTAATGACCAGCGAGATCGTCGCTTTATCCGAGGACTCCGAATTTTCCATTTTCTTTCTTTAGTCAAACCAGCTAGAACTATATTAAGAAACGCATAAAATATCTACAGTAATATTCGAAGACTTTGCGACTCGACCAGTCAATAGGACAATATACGATAGTGAAAGGTAGAGAGAGGTTCCTGATTCAAGAAGTTTCGGGTTGGTCATAAGCCATGAAGTATTTGCGTGTGTTGTTTCTAAACACACGGTGGCCGCCTGTGATTGGCTGAAACGAGCTCGTGTTCGGACTTGGAGCCTGTCCTGAAGGCCCACGCACTGCGCATGCGCACTGAAAAAAGTCGTCGGAATTTTTTTTACGTTGTTTGCTGCAAATGTTGTGATTGCATCAGATGTCTAACGTCCTATGCTGTTACGTACAGTTTTACAGAAATATGAGGGCATGTTTCATGGTTTTAATGTATGTTGTAAGCAGTGGTGCCATACTCTTAATTTATGCCTCCATTGTTTTAAGCGGCCCAGCAAAGGATGAACGCCCTGTGTTATAAACAGTGACATGTTAAACATGTGGTCTTGCATATTTAGCTCACCCCAAAATGGGCCAGTAGTATTTGCACACCGTCACTTAACTTCTGCTGCTTGACTTCATGAAGTAGGCTAAGGATTATTATGAAATTAATACAAGCCAAGGTGCAGATTTTGCAATAAATATTTCAACTAAACTAAGTAGACTGCAGCAATTAACATTTTGTCAGAACCTCTAGTAAATAGCATGCTATTTTTTTAGTTGCCTGTTCAGAATCGTGATCTCTATTTGAAACCAAAAAAATGTGGTTCTCAATTTATCCAAAATTGTACAGCTCTACTGCTGTGTGTGACTGACTGTCACAGTGTACAGTGATGGGCAAATGGTAATTTAATAATGCACAGGGACTTAGCCATCATTTCAGAAGTGAAGGGGACAGAAGTGTCCAATTTAATAATACTTTATTTTGACAGGTTTTATAATTATTATTATTATTATCCTATCTCTTAATTGGCTAAGAAATCAAATACACTGCTGGAAAGTAACCAATAATTAGTAGGCCTATTCTATAATATTTTTCCTATATTTTCCTAATGAAAATGTTATGACTTGTTCGTATACTACAAACACTTGGTACATCATAAGTTATTACTTCTACGAGTCCTTTTTGGACTTTCTTCCTCTGGCTTCCAATCTGAATGAAACATAGGCTTCCAAGGCACTTTAGAGGCTCAAATCCCATGTTTTTTTGATTCGAGACCTATTAAATAAACTGTTTTCTAACATAAAATTAACTTACCATTAAAAGTAGCTAGTTGAAACACATAAAACGTCTGCTTTCCTATTTAAATAATTGTTTTGGTCTGTCCTCCGTCATACCTGACCCTACGTTGTAAATTATTTAAATAAAATTAATTTAGTTGATTTTGACTGAATGCAGGTTAAACAGCTTGTTTTCAATGACTAAACAAATTAACTTTACCTAAGTGCCATAAAGTAAAATAACACTCTTAGAATTAACAGATTTACATAAGTAGTCATTTATTAAATATATTCAGTAATATTAGAATTGTCATTAAAAAGAAAAAGAAAAAGTATATACATGCAGATTGTTTGATCATTGATAATCAGAATAAACAAAGATTCTTGTAAATTAAGTACAAACTTAATTTGTGGTTTTAAGAGGAAATTGTTTGAATACAGTCTTTTGTTTGAATTATTACTTCGGGAGAAAGTACATAAGATCTAAAACGAATATTTTTGAATATATACTGAAAAAAACCCAATTAAGATAAACACTCTATTAACATCAAAACAAGTATGAAACACAATTTGAAAGTATGTAAATCTGTCATGATTTTAACATGTCATTAATAAGTTGAGTTTCTTTTCATCTGATGTGCGTGTGTGAACAGTTTTGTCAGGAAAATATGGTGGTGTTCACTGGCAGTACATCGTCAGCACATTCTCCTGATTGCCTCGGACAAGAAGAACTGGAGGTCGAAGGTCACGTGACACAATCTCTAGCCAAGCCAGGTAAAGGGCACTTGGACACGCCCCTCTTCGTGCCATGGGCATCGTTCTGCCAAACAAAAAAATAGAGAAGAACTTATAGTTAAACTGGTTGATCACTGTTTTGTTTTCTATCATTTGTATCGAAATGACATCATGGAACAACATACTGTATGAATAACACTTACACAATAATCAGTGCAGCATCTCTTGAGTAATCTTGAATAACTTCATTTAAGCGTATTTGTCGGAAGGACTGCACAAACATGGGACAAAATGTTTAAAAAGATGATGCAAGGCTTATAAAGAAAGTAGGCTACGTATCCGAACACCATCATTTGAAATACCTTAGTTCTGAACGTTCACTTGGACACGCCCCTCTTCGTGCCATGGGCATCGTTCTGCCAAACAAAAAAATAGAGAAAAACTTATAGTTAAACTGGTTGATCACTGTTTTGTTTTCTATCATTTGTATCTAAATGACATCATGGAACAACATACTGTATGAATAACACTTACACAATAATCAGTGCAGCATCTCTTGAGTAATCTTGAATAACTTCATTTAAGCGTATTTGTCGGAAGGACTGCACAAACATGGGACAAAATGTTTAAAAAGATGATGCAAGGCTTATAAAGAAAGTAGGCTACGTATCCGAACACCATCATTTGAAATACCTTAGTTCTGAACGTTTCCATTTCCTCATCAGACACCATCCAGGAGAATTCCTTTGTTGTCCTATCGGCTTCTTCACCATCCTTTTGGAATGAACTTACTCTATACGGAGCTATGATATCTTCAAATCTTTTAATGCTGTTTCAGTAATTTGGGGACAGAAATACAACATTTGTTTTCATAAGAATATACTTTTCATTAGTTTAAAAGGTCAATGCAGAAAGTTGTAACATGAATGGAAGGAATGAATGAAACTGTACTGGTCAGACTGTGGTTTTCCATTGAGGTCCGGAAGGACTTGAATATCTTGGAAACCCAGACGGAACCTGCTGATCAGAGCTTTGAGCCTGTAAATTGACAAATGCATGCTATTTTTAATAAACATTGAAATTTTGAGGACCAATTAAATACATTAAGTAAAAATTCATTAAATAAATTAAGATATTAAGTTTTTAGGTATATATTAATAAGTAAAATAAAAATATATATTATTAATAAATTGTATGTACCATGTGATTAAATATTAGTATAAAATGTAATATAATTTGTCAATATATCATTCAAATAAAACATACATATACACACTGTACATACATATACTCAATAATTGCTGTTAATAGTGTTCATCATCTTTTTGATTACATCTTTAATTGATTTATCCGTACATTTCTGCCATATGTACATTGACTGACAGTCACCACTGATAAGCTACCACTAAATATTGTAGAAACTTAATTTGCTGTAAAGTTGCTTTGCAATGATTTGTATCGTGAAAAGCGCTGTACAAATAAACTTGACTTGACTTGACTTGACACTGCTGTTAAAAGGTTTATTAATAAATGATGCATTACATTTGCATTACATTTATCAAAAGTGAGAGTAAAGACTTTTACATTGTAAAAAAAAAACTATTTAAAATAAATGCTGTTCTTTTGAACTTTCAGTTCATCAGAGAATCCTAAAACAATGCATCATAGTTTCGACAAATATATTAAGCAGCACAACTGTTTTCAATATCGATAATAATAAGAAATGTTTCTTGAGCACCAAATCAGCATATTATAATTATTTCATCAGAAGCTGAAAATTGAAATAAATTATGTTTGTTATAGGTTAGAATATGAAGCGTAGTGTATTATGGGTGACCTGCAGTAACATCTGTACGCCAGCGCGAAGGTCATCAGCCACTACAGTGTGGTAGAAGGTCTTCATGCGGCGCTTGTTTAACCACTTTAAATGAGTGCTGATTTTGGCAGCAGTGTCCACAGTGCCAGGTGAGGGCTCGCCCTGTCAATAACACAAAGTCAGCCAGAGACAGAATGGGTGTTTGGGAGAAAAGATTAAAGGGGTCTTTGGATGCTACATGCACTTTTACAAGTTGTTTGAACTGAAATGTGTGTTGGCAGTGTGTGTACACAACGGAAGCTGAAAATTGAAATAAATTATGTTCGTTATAGGTTAGGATATGAAGCGTAGTGTATTATGGGTGACCTGCAGTAACATCTGTACGCCAGCGCGAAGGTCATCAGCCACTACAGTGTGGTAGAAGGTCTTCATGTGGCGCTTGTTTAACCACTTTAAATGAGTGCTGATTTTGGCAGCAGTGTCCACAGTGCCACGTGAGGGCTCGCCCTGTCAATAACACAAAGTCAGCCAGAGACAGAATGGGTGTTTGGGAGAAAAGATTAAAGGGGTCTTTGGATGCTACATGCACTTTTACAAGTTGTTTGAACTGAAATGTGTGTTGGCAGTGTGTGTACACAACCACCCTATAATGATAAAAATCCACCCAGTGTTTTTTTTTTTATCTACTAAAATCTTTACCCCTTTCTCAAATCGAGCCGATCTCAGATGCCTGTCTGTGTTACGTCACAAAAACAGGCCCCTCCCACGATAGTTTGATTGACAGTAGCGTTTCAGCACAGACTGGACTGGTGTCTTACCTTAGACCCGCTCTGAGTGAGCTGTCATCAGTCCGCCATTGTTTCACCGCCGGAGCAGATGTAGACAAGAATGACTCTTAAGCGATTGAGGCGTTCTGTTGTTGGATGTAATAATGAACATAGCAGTCGTCATTTACTCCCGACATCTGAGCCGCTGAAGATGCCGTGGATTACGTTTGTTTTTGAAGGGAATGCGCCCCCCGATCTACATAAATGCGTCTATGTTCGCGCGAATCATTCGTGATCCATCTTCACCTACAGAAGAAGTGAGTATAAGGTTTTTTTTAATGAATCTTTGCAAATCGCCTTTACTAATAATGTGCTAATTAGCAAGTTTCAGATGAATGCGGCTAAAGTAAACAGTCCCTCAGAGAGCAGCTCGGAAGAGAGGGGCGGGGTCAGCAGAGCTCATTAACATTTAAAGGAAAATGCTACAAAACGGCTTGCTCTAAAAAGAATTGTTTCTAACAGGGTAAAAAATGTGTTTTTTACACCACCATTGAGAAATTTTAATCAAATTATGTTACAGACTTTTCATTAAGACCCTAAAGAATCATATCAACTTGTGGAAAATGGGCATCCGATGACCCCTTTAAAAGTTGCTCAGAGATGGAAAGAACTGAGAAATACTATAGTGATATAGTGATTAGAATAATACTTTAAAAGCAGATGTCATGAAGATTGTTGTGCAGTGGCAAAAAACAGTTATTGTTACATAATTCAAAGATTCAGTGAGAGATTGCGTTAGCAGTGCAAAAGGTCGTGGGTTTAATTCCCAGGGACCACACATACTGGTAAAAAATGTATAGCCTGAATGCACTGTAAGTCGCTTTGGATAAAAGCGTCTGCTAAATGCATAAATTATTATTATTATTAGATAAACAGATTTGGAAGTGTCCCTGGCATGACCAAGAAAAAAAATCAAAATAAAATGTGTTCTGGCAATTGTTTTGAGAATAAATATTTCTGCAGGGTTTCTTAAAAAAAATAAAAAAATAATAATATATATATATATATATATATATATATATATATATATATATATATATATATATATATATATACGTATATATTAATATGACTTATTTTCTATAGTTTTTTTTCTATAGGTATTTCTAGCCAATGAAATACTATCAATTTTTAACACTTATTTACTTATTTATAAAACTTTGAAATCTGACTTATATATTAAATATATTTCATTTAGATTTTCTATGACAATCACAAATCTATTTTTTTGGAAAAGGACATTTGAAAAACAGTGAAAAAAATGTCTGTTCCTTAGGTTAATTAAATACATTAAACCACCACTTTGTATGTAGGCCATCGTCTCTTTTCATAACCCTGTTTAATGTTTCTGTTTGCAGACTCACTGTTATGACATTTGCACATATCATCAGGCTCTGGTTCTTGGTGAAGGTGCTGATGAAATCCACCAGGGAAGGACGCATACAGGGAGGCCCACTAAGGACCAAACACTGTGGCCTGAGAAAAAGAACAGATGGAAAAAGTAGGACACAGGAAGAAATGACGAAAATGAACAAGCAAGAATAGAGAAAAAGAGAAGAAGATAAACACAACTGGAACATTTCAAGGGAGCTAAATGGAAAAAAATCCAGTATATGATTGATGGACATTAATGTTATTTACCTGTAATTTTTAATATGGTCTTCCACTTGGTTAAGACCTACACACTGAGACAGTGCCATGCTATATGAGCTGGCTTGCATTGATGAACCCCAGTTGACATCTGAAATGTACAAAACACAAACAATAGGCATGCACTAGGCGCATGATTAAAGCTTGGCAATATTATTCGGGTCAAGCTGAAATGCTCAATGGAATAATATGAGCTTCATGAGACAAATTATTTCTGACAAAGACTCGTGTCCACAAGCTATAAAGCAGGTAGGTTAGGGTGACCATATGTGCCATTTTCCCAGGACGCGTCCTGGCCAGGATTTCTATATTGCCTAAAATATCCAGGTTTTGGCTTTGTTTGCGTGTGCAGACCGATCGGTGTATGACATCAAAATACCATACAGATGGTTCCTTATGCTTTCAAAATGCTCTCGAGGTATTTTGATGTCATACACCGATCGGTCTGCACATGCAAACAAAGCCAAAACCTAGATATTTTAGGCAATATAGAAATCCTGGCCAGGACGCGTCCAGGGAAAATGGCACGTATGGTCACCCTAGGGTAGGTGTCTTACCGGGTTTCTTATACAGCACATATCCCAGCAGGAAGATGATTATGCCAATGGCTATAAGAGCAGCCCACCAGGTTAGGAGAAACATGATGATCACAGACACTACTGCTCCGAGCAAAGACAACCACTTGCTATAAAATGTATGGTCACCCTAGGGTAGGTGTCTTACCGGGTTTCTTATACAGCACATATCCCAGCAGGAAGATGATTATGCCGATGGCTATAAGAGCAGCCCACCAGGTTAGGAGAAACATGATGATCACAGACACCACTGCTCCAAGCAAAGACAACCACTTGCTGTAAAATCGAAAAGTTGGACGCCAGCCTGCTCACACACAAGGAAAATGAGAAAAGCTTCAGTGAGCATCAATGTGAATATGGATTTTTTGAAACCTGTGAATTTACAGTAGCATGGAGCGTAATGAGAATACAAATGGCTGAAATAGAGTATTAAATTATTTCCGTAAAACATATTTTGTTTGCATTTGTCATGTTATCATACATTATCTCAAGAAAACAACCCTGCGGTGGTTACAGTATGCACCATTAAACCAATTTGGAAACCACCATTAAAAAACACAAATATTGCTTCATAAAATGTTAGTTTAACGCATTGTGGCTTGATGTAACTCACCTGGTGAGTTAGTGATGGAGGCATGGAAGCAGCTGAAGTTGATGAGAGCGTAGGAGCAGAGGAAAAAGTTGGAGATGATGGGAGCAATGGTGTTCAACTCAGCTGAAATAAACATTAGAACATTTGTATATCAAGAAATTTTTTTTGAGAGCATTCACAACTTGCATGGGTAAATTTTGATTTTGGTGGTTTACCAATAAGAATGAAGCATATAGCGATGATGTAGGCTAGCAGATAGCTTCTCAGTGGTTCATTATTCTTCCCATAACCCTTCCCGAAAAATCCAATGCCTGGATACAGCTTGTCCTTGCAAAGGCACTATAAAGAGATGGAAGAAAACAAGAAGGGGAATGGATGGAAGTTATGTAAGAATAGTGTTTAATTTAGTAAATAACACTGAAGATGGTTTTGCACTCTATAATAGAGGTATAAAGATGTTAAGGGGCTCATTCGTTACCTGGAAAACCTTAGGAGCTGACACCAGACAGGCCAGGGCTGAGGAAAGTGTGGCTCCAAAAATGCCAGCAGAGATCAGAGGAGCAAACGCAGACACCATGCTCATACTCTGAAGTGATACATGACAGAAGAACATATAATTTCTGTTAACCCTCTGGTATTCCTCACTCATCAATGTATAACTATTGTTTTTGTACTAACATCTTGAGACCATTATTAAAGCCCAGATAACTCTGAATGGACATTCCATTAATGTTACTGCAGTAATTTTTGTCTTTTTTATTTTCTTTAGTTTTTCATTGTATTTTTTATTATGGTGGTCATTTTTCACTTCAAAGATCACAAGTGTGACTATTTTTTTAAGACCATTTATCCTTTTGTGTCCACAACTGACTGGTACAAGTTTTGTACCATTCTGATGGAAGTTGAAAAAAAAATTCAGTCTAAAATGACCAGTGATCATCAGAGGGTTAATATTGGACTGATGTCATGGAACATTTCATTTTTAGGGACTGGAATAATGTTATACAATATTTAGGAGACATATTTTACATGTTTTCAGTGACACATTGTTGACAATGCTACTCAGTGACCGTTTAGGCATAATGGTCACCTGGTAATAATTGCTGATTCCATAGGTACAGGTCTTGTTGGTCATACAATCAGTGAAGTTCCAGCCATAGTTGCAGCCCACTCCCAAACACTCCCCAGACAAAGACGATATGTTGTCATTAATATTACCAGAAGCATCACGCAAAGCACAGGAGCCTGGAGTACATTTAAAGAGAACAACAGGGAAATAACACAGCTGTAAGTGTGATACAATGGGCCTCATTTGCAAATTTCATACAATTTGACAATTTTAAAAAGACCCACATACGGTAAATGAATAGAAAGGAATAAAATAATAATCAACAGACATTATCATGGACTTGTTAGGCATTTCTGATACTCACCAATAGTAGCTGAGATAAAGAGATATGATATAGTGGTCCAAAAAATGGCCAACATTGTACCACGGGGTATAGCAACATTTGGATCCTATGGGAGGTTGTGCGTGTGAAAACAACAGACAGAAAAACAAGCTTTTAGAGGCTTGAGTTCCCACAAATAAAAATCTTTTTATTGGAAGAAACATCACTAAGACCGGGAGCTCAACTTGCCTTCAGATCTCCAGAGATATTAGCCCCCGCAAGGATGCCTGTAGCTGAGGGGAAGAAGATGGAAAACATGCCAAAGAAACTGCCCTCCGGTCCACGCCAGCCGGGCACAAAGTTTGTTGCAAAAATATCAGCTATTGGGCACAAAATGAGACACTTTATGAGGAACATATGGTAGTGTAATCTGATTAGCAATGAGAAAATGAGGATGAAGTGTTATGATTATCACATTTGTGGAACATATTGACTGCATTGCTCTCTGACCTCGGTAGCTGAAAAATCCTTTGGCTTGTTTCTCTGGAGTGGCTGGTATGATGGTTCCCACAATGTAACTGGCGAAGGAGATCATGATGACAAAGAAGAACAAGACCTGGGCCTGGAAGAAGAACAAAACCAGTGCAAACTGTTAGAAGCTGAACCAGACAAAATTGCTTAAAATTGCTCTGTTTGAGAAACGTACCTTGGACTCCCATTCCATTCCAGCCATTGAGATGGCCAGCAGACAGGTGACAGTAATCACTCCTATGATACGGATATCATTTAGACGGTCTACCATGCTAACATCACTCTCCTGATGGGCATCAGAAAAAACATGTCAAAATCATGGTTCAAACATGGAAAGTAGTTAATTAAAGGAACAGTTTAACCAAAAATGAAAATCCTGTCATCATTTACTGACACTGATGTTGCTTTAAACCCATAAACTTCTGTGTATTAATAATTAAAACTAATTAATAATTAATTAGTTATTTTTTCTTTGATTTTCAGTGTATTTTGGTATACTAGTCCATATTACCCACCTGCATGAGCACCTGTACCGTTTCAGCAAAGCCCACAGTGTGCATGGCTACAGCTACTGCATTAGCAAAAGCAAATATAAGCCCAATCGAGCCCCCTAGTTCTGGACCCAAACTACGAGAGATCAGAAAATATGTTCCACCTGGAGAAAGAAATACAAAGAACACAAACATATCAGTGCTGATATCTTATGGTTATTAAATAACATTACTATATAGCCAATATTGCATCCTGGAAAGAAGTCTGATAATGGTTTCTTTACTCATGTTAGTCAGATCTATTCAGCATATACGTGTAATGTTTATCTTTACCTCCTTTAACCTTTCCATTAGTGGCAATGGCCGATGTGGACAAGCCAGTGATGCCCGTTATAGAGGAGGAGACCAAGATTATAATCCAAGTCAGACCTTTAAAGTCAAGAGGAACATTTATTTTAATAGGAAGCACTGACACACCAGTATACATCACAGTGCAGTGATATGTAACTTAATAGCCCCAAGGGGTTTTACAAAAATTCAAATGGGAATTTAGCAGTAAACACACACACTCACAAAAAGAGATCAAGACATATAGCAACAGAGACTGACATACCAATCCCTGCCTGCGCTGTGATCCAGGGAAGCCTCAGGTACAGAATAACACCCCAGATATTCAGCATACAGCGGATCTACAGGGAGAATCCATTCAGAGGAACACAAATGCTTTCTGCTTGCTTTGATTCACATGAGTATGTTTGTACCCATATGCAGAAAAAGACATACTTTAAAACACTTCAAAAAGTATGAATGTCTTTGCAATATAAGACAATATTCTTCTACTTTTAAAATGGTATTTTATGATATGATATGTGTAATATGAAATATATAATCATATCTTACATATATTTATTATTCATATATAAGAAATAGCACAGTAGCACAAAAAAATTTTAAACAAAAAAATATTGTTCAAACTTAAGGCAATATTTGGGTACTTTTTGAGTGTCAAATTAGTAGAACATGTTCATGATGTGAACTTGAGGAGATATTTCCAAAAAAGTTTGTTCTGAGAAAGGTCATTTGTATGCAAAAGAACAAAAAAAAAAGTTTAAAAAAAAATACAAAAGTATTTGTTTGCAGATGTCATAATTATATATTTTGTATTTAACTCAGTTACATTCATACATTTTCAAGTGTGGAAAACACCTTTTGGTATCACTGGTTTTTAATATCATTTACATATCTGGTGTGTTTCTTTTTTTGTGCTAATCTTAAATATTCCTAGGCTTGCCACTCACTTGAATTTTTTAAGGCCGATTTAAAGCCCGATTTGCACCCCTGAACAATCGGGGGTGTGGCCCGATTCGAGGCTTGTCCTAAACGTTTTTTTGTCCAAAAAAAAAAATCTATTGTGTGATGTCATTACGATTATTTAACTGCTCCCAATCGAGATGGAGCGTCCCCGAACTTAAATCATAAATATCACACTTGTGTGGTGGTCTCGTGTTCTGCACTCGTGTGTGCGCGTTCAGAGGATTATAAGGCTAAAAATTGGTTGAAACTGTCATCATATCTGTGATCTCCCATGGTTTTAAAATCGGTTAAGATTTGAAAATCGTCTAGTGTGTCCCAGACTTTACCATGACTCCCTGAGCCCATCCAAAGCGGGCTGGTTCTGGAGGAGGTTCAGTGGGTTCATCTTCATCTGGACTTTGTTTGTCCACACTCGACTCCTCATACAGAGGAGGTGGAGAAGGGTCGTCCTGAGAGAAAACTTATATGAACTAGTGGAAAACATGACTAGTTCTTAATGGATTCCTGGATTGAAGATTTATTTATTTGCATGTATTTAGAATAAATCTTATCCTATATAATCCTAATGAAGCTCATCAACGTTTCATTTTATCTGAAAGAACTCCTTGACATTCATCAGCATCGTTAATACGTTTATTTGTGAAATTTCTAAGGAAAAAAGATTCGTTTTATGTCATTCCTACCTGTGGGTTGGAGTGAAGCTGAAAAAGAGAAGGTCTTGACTTCTTTGCTCTGCCAAAAACCTCAGTGTTGGTATAGAAGTCATAACTTGGCGGAATATCCAATGTGTCATATCCAGAAAAAACACCAGAGCTGCGGGAGGCTACGCTGTCGGTATCATAACTGCTACATCCCCCCAGACTGAATTTACGGTCATCTCCATTGCTCAATGAAGAGACTGAGAAAGGGCTTCTGACAGCTGAGAGGTTCATCCCTTCATTGGCCTGCAGTAGGCTACCTCCAACACAACTGAATCAACAGCTGTCTGTGGGTTATATTATACCTGAGCCGGAAGGAACCATTTATCGACGTATGATTCATATGATTAGTGTGAGAACATATTCAGGAGCTTTTGTAACGGTCATTAATTCTTAATTGTTGCTGCAGGGCCTTTTGCTTGTACTGGGGCTTGTAAACATCATCAGTACCTGTAATGACTCAGATCTCATGTCAGATATCCTTGACACTGGTTCTCAAGGACAACTGCAAATTTTCAGAGTCCTGTGTCATGCATAAGAAACAATATATTTCTCTGGTTTAATAAAAAATAATTTAAATTTTTTTTATTCTATTAGGTAAATTTATTTATTTTTGATCTGATAGCAATCAGGACAAAATACAATACTAGCAAAACTTTCTGAACAATAGCTTCTAAATATTTGGTTCAGATACAAATGGGCCATGCTTTAATTTACAGTGTCCATGTTACACAATTATGAATAATTACATGCAACTAACCCTAAACCAAACTCTAATACTAACCCTATAATAAGTACATGTTGTTAATTAACAGTGCTTAAATGTATAATTACAATGTAACAAGAATAAAATAAAGTGTAATGAGAAATGGTATTGACAGAGACCGTTTATTTGTGACCCTGGACCACAAAACCAGTCATAAGGGTCAATTTTTCGAAATTGAGATTTATACATCATGGATAAATAAGCTTTCCATTGATGTATGGTTTGTTAGGATCGGACAATATTTGGCCAAGATACAACTATTTGAAAATATGTAATCTGAGGGTGAAAAAAAATTGAAATATTGAGAAAATCGCCTTTAAAGTTGTCCAAATGAAGTTCTTAGCAATGCATATTACTAATAAAAAAATAAGTTTTAATATATTTACAGTAGGAAATTTACAAAATATCAATGATTTTTGGCATTAAAAAAAATCAATCATTTTGACCCATACAGTGTATTTTTGGCTATATACCCCAGCGACTTAAGACTGGTTTTGTGATCCAGGGTCACGTTTGTCTTGATCAGAGAATTTTCCAACCTGTAGTGACCTTCATTTTAGTCTCTTTAACTCGCCAGCAGCTCACAGTCGTTCCAACTGACAGCCTTTTGCCTTAAGCATTGACTGATCATTGCAGAAACAGTTCCTCATTAACTAAAAGGCCGATGTCCGCCAATGCATGTGACCCAGGGAGCAGCATCGGGTTAAGTGATTATTTCTGCAGAAATTGGTCTGGAAGCCCCAAAGGGGGAGCCTTTTCAGTGTAATTAGTGCAGACCACAGGTGCTCTCCTTTGAAACTATTTTTTTGATTAAATTTCTATTATTAGACACTGAGAGCTTAAGCAAAAAAACAGTTACTAAATGGTCATTTTGAAATCCTCATGCTCCCGGAGGGGAGCTGTCAGAACAAGGAGCAGAAGACTGTATAAAGTGGTTTAAATTGAAATTGCAATGAGTCTACTGTAGGAAACACAGACATAATGTCATATTACATAAAATCGTTCTTAATTACATCAAAAGACAGATTTAATCTGATAAAACCAATTGTAATGTTTAACAATTGCACATACATATAAAATAAGATAGACACTCCTCTTATAATGATAATAATTTGTAATGAATAAACATCAACTAAGAAAAAATGCTAAATATTATATACACACTACTTTTTTTTTGAAAGAATATTTTAATTCAGCAAGGATGCATTTAATTGATCAAAAGTGACAGTAAACAACATTTTTATTTGAAATAAATGCTGTACTTTTGAACTTTCTACTCATCAAGGTATCCTTAAAAATGAATCATGGTTTCCAATCAATCAATCAATCAATCAATCAATCAATCCTGTTTTCAACATTGAGAAGAAATGTTTCTTGAGCACCAAATCAGCATATTAGAATGATTTCTGAAGGATAATGTGACACTGAAGACTGGAGTAATGGCTGCTGAATATTCAGCGTTGCCATTACAGAAATAAATTATATTCTAAAATGTATAAAAATAGAAAAGAGTTACTTTAAACAGTAGCAATATTTCCTGCAATAAAAATGAGAAACTTCATCTTAGTTACAATGTTTTATTTCAAGAACAACTTCTGTATTGTTAGTGAGGATAATGCATTACTGTACGTATGTACATTGATGTAAGGTCTGTGAGAGGGATGAATGATCTCTTAGGTAGAGCTCCTTTGTTGGCAGCGGTGTGGTGCCACCCTGGTGTTGTGAAATAGCCGGGTTATCGCGGACGTGTGACATCGGCCTGATTCACAACACCAGCTGCAGCACACACACCTCTCACACCAGTCCATGAGGTGTCGAGATGAATCTTTTCTCTCCAGGTCTTCTCCAGGCTCCAAACAAAACAGAGTTCCCATTTGACACATGTGATGTACTGATGCTGGAAGACTTCATACAAATTATGCAAGGACCAGATTGTTCAAAGGGTGAAATAGAGTTGAAACAGCCCGATTGTTGTGCTTCCAGTACCTTGAATTTAGGACAGTGCACTCTAATATTAATGCAGCAGCTCCAGATGCTAATGGTTAAAAATGCAAAGCAGAGCTTAGAGGGAGCTGGAGCAGACACTGCAGCCAGCCGTGACAAAGCCAACATGTCCATCTGTGTGCTCTACGGGCATTTCCTCCATAACCCACCATCTGCTGAGAGAATCAATGTCACACAGACACATTCCTGCTCTCATAACTCTCTGATAGGGCTTTAAACATTCCCTGTCCAGCCACTTGTTTGTACAGTAGGTTTGTTACACAACATACATTTTAATGAATAAAGCATGACCCAACCAAAACATAGACAAGAAACATACAGGGCTCCCACAGATTTTGATCAATTCATTTCAATGACCTTTGTCATTTAAAAATAGATTTTTAAAAATAATTTTGATTCAGACTGATTTGTAAATGAAATCATCTTAATTTGTAAATTCATTTATATTAAAAAAAAATAGTTTGAACGATTTAAACAATATAAAAGAATACAATATTTGAAATACATTTACTTAAAATGAACTAACATTGAAAAATATTCCTCAAGCATTTATTAATCTTAATTTCAACATTTACTAATACATTATTAAAATCAAAAGTTGTATTTTTATAAACTAACAATAACAAAATAATTGCTCCGTGTCAGTTAATGCATTAACTAATGGGAACTTATTGTAAAGTGTTCCCCTTAAAAGAACGATTTGCTCACAAAACACTATAGTTTCTGAGTTTTACACTACACAAGCTCTAACAACAACAATGCGTAGCCAATAAAATATTTCATAACTTGTAATTAGTCAAATGTATAGTCACTATAGAAATCTCTGACTTTAATTCAATTTCCATGCCTTTTCCAGCCCCGGAACCTTTTTCTGTGAGAACCCTGTATATATAGTACAGATTGTTGGTTGCCACCAAATTCACCAAAGTGACTAATCTCTCTTAATATAATAAAGAATATAATTGTCATGAGATGTGCACAATGATTGTTTGCACTGGATTTCGTATTGGATTGATCTTGGATTTCATGAGGGATAAACTGTAATAGTGTATTTGATTAATTTCATATAGCCTTTTAAAGGAGACTATAACTTTTAAAATGAAATTGATATGCAACTGAGATTTAATCAACTAAAACGGAAAATGCAGGACAAAATGTCACATCAAATTAAAGAACTGAAAAAAAGAGGTTTATGATAAAAGAAATTAAAATGAAACAAAACTGAATTTCTTTTTTTTTTATTTCAAACAATGGAAAAAACAAACAAGTATAAGTTGACAAAAGTAATGATGGAATGAGGACAATGAAAGACCGCTGCTGGAGAAGGGTGAAGTGGAGAGTTTCAGTTCATTAGGACCTCCATCTGAACCAGTCTGGCATTGGTATCTCCAGCCATCCGGTATGGAATCATTCCCGCAAACGTGATCAGAGCCCGGGCTTGACTGCGCAGCAGCTGCAGAGAAAGTAGACAAATGCAACCGCAGGTGGTCACACACACTTGAGAAGAGCTAATCAGGATTAACATGTATCATCATAGTGTGTGTCCAGTGAATAATGGACTATTAGCTTTATAGTTGATTAACCAATCATTTTATCTTAGAAAATGTGTCTTACCATGTCTCTGTCCTCTAGGGTACGCTGAGGTCTTCCTGGCGTACCTGCTGCAGCCCCCTTTAGACGCTTGTATTGTGTGAACAGGATATTCATTGTGGCCAGCAGAACCTCTGACAAATTATGTCTTATCTGTGGAAAGATTAGGACACAATGGAGAGAATGTCATGAGAACAAAGGTCTCTATTCTGGTCATTAAAAAAAAAATTAAATGTTTAAAATTATACAGGCTACATTTTAGTCAACTCAACCAAAAAGCAAAGATTTGAAAAGAGGTATTAACATTTGGGGTCACCTGAAACGACAACAGCTCAGGATTTGAAATAACAGCAAGTAGATAATTTATGCTAATGCTTTCAGATCTCTTACCTCGTCGCTGAAGTTTCTGAAGGCTGCAACCCGTTCTTCAACACTCTCCTGACTTAAGGGAACCAGCTTTAGCCTCTCAATCACCTGACACAGAATGGCACAAAAATTAAGATTAATGCCTGGCAGCATGTGCCCAAGGTCAGCAGGGGTCTTATAGGTGACTTACATCGTAGGCTCGGTCTATGTGGCCAGTGTGGTACTCATCAAAGAACGTCATGAGGTCCAGAAGCAGGTAGAAGGTGCTGTCCACAGTCTTCTCCCCAGCTATACCATTAGTACGATACCTGTGCTCAAGAAATACAAGAAACCATTTGGTGTTCAATGAAACCACAATCTACAAGACCAAAAATACCCATGATGGAGGTTCATTACGTTTCTGTCTCAAAATTAAAGTTATTGTCAGATAACATTTAAAAAAGGAAATAAAGTTACATTTGGAAGATATAAATCACTACTACAAGAAACAACGTTGCAACTGCAAAATATAAAGTCACAATTGAGAGATCTAGTCACAATTTTGAGATACTGTATAAAGTTGCAATTAGGAGACAACGTAGTAATTGAGAGGCAAAGTAGTAATAGACATCGGGATTATGATCAATTATGAGAAGTAAAGTTGCAATTGCTAGATACATTTTTTTTTTCATACTTTAGGCAGAAAAGGGCTTTCATAATTTAAAGAGATCTGTGTACAAAATGCTCACCGTTCAGCAATAGCCACTGCCATGTTTTTGAGTCGCTCTTTGTTGGACTGGGGCTCGCTGACTTGAGCGATAACTGGACTCAACAATTTGTTCATCAGCTCCAGAACCTTGTCAGCATTCTGATGCAAGAAAGAAAAGATGCTTTAGGCACAATCATCTCGAGATTAATGAAACCAACAGCACATTACAACTGATCTTACCCTGGCTAACTCGTACAGTTTGACGGCCTCCTCAAACAGCCCCTTGTTCTCGGCCTCCGATGCCACCTTGGTAATGATGGCCCGCGTGTCTCCGGCAAACTTGTCAATCACGCCGGGCTGAAGGGATTCAAACAAACACTGCTTAGAGCTGAGGAAGACTCTGAATGCACAATGTTGTCAAATTGCTTTGAGCATGAAAGGCCAGACTGTGATTTAAAGGCCTTTGAGACAATAGCACATTCTACACAACCCTGCAAGGCTGAACAAACAAAATAACGAACGAGCGTGTGCACAATGAGTTAGCGAGAAAGAACAGTGGCACATTCGTTTTCTCAGGTGTCAGGCGATATTACAACAAAAGCCTCCAACATACCTTTCTGCTTCCATCTTTCTCAAGTCTTCCAAGAAGCATATCGAACTACAGGAAGAGAGTTAAGTATTAACAGAAATTATGTAATGATAATAGCAATTAGTGTGCAGAAACGCTTCCTCCAATGAGCTAGTTTCTTACCTCCCGACTCTCGATGACTAGCTCGCTGACACAGCGCATGAACATGTTTTCTCCTTGACTGTCCTTCTCATTCCTGTGGCCAACCAGAGAACAGTGATTGTGAGTTTTCACTCAGTAAAGTACAGCGATTATGCCATTTGTAGCACGAAAGCACTTGGACATGCAAAGGAACGTGTTTGCTTTGTGATACTCATGCAAACCCCAAGATAAAAGGCCTTTAGAAGATCAATCGCTTCCTTTTTGTAATGGTGCCTGTGAGGTCTCTTAAAACAATGGGTCGAGTTAGCATAGAATTCAGTGTGAATGGAACAGGTTTAATTATTCATGGATCATTCGTGGAAGGTTCTGAGTTATTCATGACACTTTAATCTCTTCTCAGAGAGGGATTTCTCTCAGTATTTTCAGAGAAAAAGACATGACCCACAGTTCAGCCACTGATCAAACAGGAAACAAGCTGATTTTTGAACAGGTGTTGTGTGTTGAAGTACAGATTTGCTCAAGAGCTGTTCAACGTGACTGATTTGAGATCAGTTCTTTCAGCATGTTACACTAAATGACCCAATAGCATCAGCTGGGGTTAGGTCAACCATTACCGGAGGAAGTAGAAGTACTGCAGGGCCTCTCGTGGGTCTGTAGACTCAAACTTGCGGGTGTAGAGCATAAGCAGCCTGATGAAGTTGAGCCGTCGCACCATTGGAGGATCTCCAGCCTCTTGACTCACTGAGAAGAGACCAGAAACCTATTTAGAACAGAAACCGGATACAATTTTTAATTATCACACATTGATCAGCACTTACAGAGTTGTGCACTCTGCCCTGATGATTTGAGCAGCAGTTTGAGTTCATACAGCACCAGAGCTACATGAACAGCATGGCTGCGCAGACGCTCCACTCGGAAAAGGAATGCTATGGCCGCCTCAAACTGTGCAGTCAGGAAAAGCACCTGGAAGTACAGGAATGGCTGGTGGCTGGCCGAGAAATGGGACTCACCTGCAGAAAACAATTCAAATAATGTCAAACACCTTTATGAGCAATTGGGATAATCCAAAACCACTTACAGAACAATATAAACGACATATTGGGAATGTGCACATGCAAATGCAGCCAGTAAGGATTTGTAACTTAAGGAATTTGAATGCTTCTTTAAGCGAGTAATATGTTCCACATAAATCTTCCTCAGCTGTGAAGTGCTTAAATAGGCTGTTTCATTTCCATTTGCATGAGTTGAAATAATCCCCTCTCATTTAAATTGCCGTTAAAACTGACGTCTTAAAACGGCATTGAAAAGACCTGCTGCGACTTTGCATAGAGCGTAATGGCAGCACAGCTGGGAGTGAAGGAGTCTTATCAGCAATAGAGGGAGTCTTTAATATGGTGTACTGCAGGAGCGCCAGCGAGATAAGACTGACTCATCAGGCAGGTGGAAGAAACTAAGCGGATGCCTTTTTAAAACTGGGCGAGGAGAAGTTTAAGCCACGAGAAAGCAGCACAATGACATACACTTTTATCTGGGCTAGGCACACTGGCAGAGACTAAATAGGGGGGTTTTGCATGCTGACTAACTTCCTAGTCTTTCAAATGCCCATTTAAATATCTTCCTTTAGGACTGGAGTGAATCTAAAGATAAGTGGGATGATTTATTGGCTGTATGGAATAATTTGACCTGAGTTTTTAAGATATATTGCCTGGATTTTGTAACTATAATATTATTTACAAGTATAGTCAACTTAATCCAGTTTAATAGAAGTTGTTAGGATTCCCTTGTGGCACACAATTTTTTGTTTTCTCTGAATCTGATCAAATCCAGCTGAAATCTGTCTGTCACAGAACATCTTACAATCTTTTTTGTTATAAATCAGTTTTGACTGAGTATATTTTATACACTTAAAAGAAAACATATATATATATATATTTATGTATGTATGGTGACTCTGAGCCTCACCATAGTCCTCCAGCAGCTGTTTTTGAAGTTGGGCTAGAGTCATTCTGTCCTGAGGGGAACTGCTCCCGTCCTCATCAAAACACACTTGATTCAGCTGGTAGTGGACACAGAACATTGCTCAAAACATTAGTAAAAAATATGAACTATAACATAAACTCTGATATACAATAAAGTCTGTATCTGTCACTATATCTGACCTTGAGCCACAGATAGTCTTCTGTCTTATCGGCCACCTCTCCATGATTGTCGCCGATGTCGCATTTGCCGATAAGGCAGTAGACTGCACGCTTGTAGGGGTCGGCACTGTTCCTCAGCACACGTCGGTAATGAAGTCGCAGTTTATTCTCTGTAGCTGGAGACAAACTGAGAAAAATGGTGCAGTTGAATAAATATATATTGAATCCTTAAAGAAATGTACTGAATTATTCAGTTTTAAGATAAACTTGTGCATGAGAGACGAAAAGGGAGCAAGCTGGGTCAAACGCACAAGAGAGAGAAGTAGCTACCAAAAACAGAGGAGAAATAGTCCTCTTAGGATGTGATCTAGTTTTTGGGGTGTGTCTATGTCGGTGTCTCACCGTCGGTCGGGGCTGTTCATGTACTCCTGAAACCAGATCTTAAAGTCGCCCAGCTGATGCTGTGCCCTGTTCACCACCTGCATGGCGGCAGACAGGTCTCCGCAACGCAGGCAGAAATAGATCAGAGCCCACACTGGATGTCCCTCCACCTCGCCGTCCTGTTACACACATACACACACAGCAGGGTTTATCATTGGGTCACACTGCGTCCACTTACCCCCTTTTTACTTTCAAGTCTGGAATAAGCAGCTTATTGGCCCATGCAGGGAGAATCCACTGCTGTTATCTAAACTATGGCAAGCCACACTCTGTGCAGTTCATTCGAGAGTATCTGCAGTGAAGGCATCTAGTCTGTATGATGTAGTGCTGCCTGTGCTGTGTGGTGTGGACACGTTCTACTGCAGTACCTGCATGCCTGGCAGCGGAGTCGGCAGCTTGATGTTCAGTAAGCTGCATACGAGCTGATAAGTGCCAGGTACTCCACCCAGCTGAGCCTGGTGCAGATTCCCAAATACAGTGACCATAGTGTAATTTTTATAGCTGCAGAAGAGAGACACAAGCAGTCCATTTTTCTAGTGGATAAAAGTGCATACTGGGTTTACTAACTTTCTGCCCAGTGAATTTAAATGTTTATCCTATAACCCTGTTATAGACAACTAAATAAGTTTTAGTTTTTTTAAATAATGATAGTTTTGATTCAGAGTGACTCACTAATGAGTCAATTCTGACTGATTTGTGAAGCTGTTTGACCGACTCATTCAAATAAATTGACTAAAAAATGATTAGTTCACAAACCTGAACTCACTGTCCCGTAACCAAGTTTTAATCAACATAACAGCAAAATCTAACCCATTAAAAATGTTAGAGGAGAGCATAGAATTGATAAGCACAAATTTCCCTGAAATTAATTGTATTAATTTCCATGATATTTCCAGGTTTTCCATGACCATGGGAACCCTGAACATACACTACCATTCAAAAATGTGGGGTCAGTAAGACTTTTATTCAGCAAGGATGCATAGAATAATAGAATGCATAGAAGCTGTTCTTTTGAACTTTCTATTCATCAAAGAATCCTATCAAAGAAAAAATATATAATGGTTCCCACAAATATATTAAGCAGCACAACTGTTTTCAACATTAATAATAATGCTAAAATTGATAATAAGAAATGTTTATAAAGCAGCAAATCAGCATATTAGAATAAATTTTTTTTTAAATCATGTGACACTGAAGACTGGAGTAATGGGTGCTGATAATACTGCTTTGCAAAAGCATATTCTGAATTGTACAACCAATTTCCACAATAAACTGAAAGTCTCTAAACACAGTAAATTAAAAGCGTTATCGTTTTTATTTAAATCTTTTTTTAAATCATTATTTTTCATTTAAATGTCAATTTATTTAAAATCAATAATTATTAGAATATTAATTAAATAACTGAAAACTCTGTAATCTGTTGAAAAACACTGACAATCACAAAACTGACAATAGCATAAAAACTATTTTCGTCTATACTGGTAATTTCAACATTGCTACATCCCTACTTAAAATTAGTTTGTGTCAATATTATCTCTCTAATCAAAGACTTTCTTTCTCTCACCTGTTCTCCAGGAATTGCAGGGCTTGTCTGACGAAGGCCATCTGCATGTCCACAGACACTCGACTCTTCAGCGTGTCCTTTGCCGGCACCAACAGAACGTCTGTCATCTGCTTCACCATGAGCCACATGTCTGACACATTCTGCAAGCACATGCACAAACAACTTTACAGAATCGCTATTAAAGCAATAACTCCCCTATATTTCTGAGACAAAAAGCACAGTAAGGAACACACACTGAAACCAGGCCGAATGCGACATACCTTATCATCCAGGCTTTCGGCTACTGAGGCACAGAGATCTCCCAGGTTGGGCTGAAGATGCCCATTTACTATCTTCTCATTGAAGATATAGATCTAAACGAAAGAGGAAAAATGCAAATGGAGAATGAAGGTCAAAGACTGATTGCTGTCTAAGGCGGAGTTCTCCATAGGTGTATCCGCTACGATCTGGAAGTGAAGTGTAGGATGATGAAAAACAAAACAAACAGGATGAAAATGTTTAGAAGGTCTTCGAAAAAGAGCACAAAGATCAGGAAGATGACTCCGCAGGCGATGTAGCGACACATGATTAGAAAAAAAAGTACAAAGGCAATAAAAGAGAGATCTGACAAAAAAAGAGAACAAAGGAGGAGAGAGTGAGAGACAGCCCTCCCTTTTATGGATAGATTGGGAGCTTACCCATCATGCTGCTTTCCAGTCAATCAATTTTTTCAATCAATCGAGCTAGGCTTGCAAAACACAACACATTTATTCTGGTGTCTAGTTAACTGACTGAAAGAAAAGCTAAGCTTAACTAAACAAAAAAGGTATTCTGAGTAACTATGAGCCAGTCTTTTTTAAACATGTCTTATAACTAAGATTGCTGATTTATTAGTGACCAGATTGATGTTGTCCAATTCCTCCTCTGTGTGATGTTTCAAAAGTACTTTCTTTTAAAGATTATAGTTATGTTGATTAAGTTATTTATTATTATTTATAGATATTTTTAATTTGTTTTATTTTTATTTTTCATTATATGTGTGCTTATGTTGTATATACGTATGGCTTTCTACAAACCTGTCGGCTGTAGGCAGCTTCCACACTGTCCAGTGCACTGCGTCCTGGAACTCCGACCTCGCTCACGAAACTGGGCTGTGGGGCACATAGCAACCGTCGTTAAGGCACAAACAAGGATGTCTACACAACAAGACCTAATTAATATTCTATACATGTGTAGGTGTGCATTTGTGCGCCTGTAAAAGTGTGGGTTTGACAAGTGCACAAGCTGCGTTTATCTCGGAGAGTTGTTTTAATCTAAATGCAGCGATCAATGTAGCGTGAAGCTATTGTGAAGAACATAACTCACGCTTGAGAGCACACAGCTCAGTACTGTAAATACACAGAGAGAGAGAGAGAGAGAGACATACACAGAAAAACCTTAAATTGCATACGTGGACATGAATTTATCTCTTCCAAAGAAAAATGTCACATGTACTGAGAAAGATTTGACACAGATAAAGCATATGGTGCTTTAATTGAAATGATTTTCAACACTTTCTCTCTCTCTCACACACACACGCAAACACAATCCACAGTAGCAAATTCCATGAACAGCCTGGCAAGAAAGCCACTGAGGCGTTGTAGTTTGTGTGACTATGTAGCGGGGAGGGGGCGACCCAGGCTGGTGGTACAAGGAAGAGTGAGCTCCTGGCATAGGAAGTGAACAGCAGGTCACACATGGAAAATTTAACTGCTGTTTAATAATTAAAGTAGCAGGACAGCAGTCAAAAATCTCCTAGAGAACAAACATACATGCGTTTGTGTCCAAATTCACACAAACACAACATTCTTCCTGAATCCTTTATAGAAAAAGAAAAGGAAAGACAAAAGCATATTCTAAGGTTTCACCATCTCAAAAAGACGGTCTTTGTTTGCCGTAGACAGACTATTGTTCCTCTTAAGGACATAAAAGTGAAACATGCGGGGGTTTTTGGTATATATTATTTAGAAGAGGAGTGCTTGTCATCGTCAATGTTTGATGTTTTCTACATCCTTCCCTCTTACTCACCTCTCCATTTTGTGACAGCAGAGAAGTGAGCAATGCTGCCAAAAGAGCATCTATTTTATGAATAATACCCTCTAAAAGCAGCCAATGTCATCCCATCTTACTGTCACATGACTGACTTTTTAAAAAATTTTTTTAATTTTTTTACTTTAGTATGCTGTGAGCATATGAATATAACATAAGAGATTTAAAGCTAAAAATATATTATATAAATTTTTAAAAAGCTAACTCTCTCTCTCTCTATATATATATATACATGTATAAAGTACAAAAGTATAAAAATATTAGGGCTGCACGATAAATCGCATGCGATATTTAATGCGCATCTTGTCAGTAAAGCCATTCTGTAATCAGCGGTAAATCTCCATCACCTAATGGATTTTTTTTTTACTTTAGTATGCTGTGAGCATATGAATATAACATAAGAGATTTAAAGCTAAAAATATATTATATAAATTTTTAAAAAGCTAACTCTCTCTCTCTATATATATATATACATGTATAAAGTACAAAAGTATAAAAATATTAGGGCTGCACGATAAATCGCATGCGATATTTAATGCGCATCTTGTCAGTAAAGCCATTCTGTAATCAGCGGTAAATCTCCATCACCTAATGGAGTGAAGTGATATAAGATTTCACTGACACTCAGATTCAGGCCAAATGTAGCCACAGGCTGGGTGTATCATACCAACAGATCTGAAAAAGCTCCTTAGATGCTAAATGAGAACATGTGTATTTCACGGATACGCCACGCGTGAAGTGAGGTGAGTGTGAGCTATTACATATCATACAAGGGAGTTATATCATATCTATCATGCGTGTGCATTGTGTTTCATGTGGCATGTTGTTCCTCAGACCTCCACTTCCTGGCTGAAGTCCAGTGCATCCTCTCCAGCTCCCAGCAGGGTGTGCAACACTCTCTGCTTCACCTGCTCCCACTGCACCAACATAGAGTCTCTGTGGTACTCCTCCGCTAGAAGAAATGTCTGCAAGAAAGACAGAACAAGTGAAATAGCGGGGACAAGGTACAAATCACACATAAAAAAGCATGTGGTCAATGAGAGTAAAACGAGTTGAAACTACAAAGCCTTCAGCAAATATATAGGTTACTCAACACGTGACGCATTAAAAATAGCAAGCGGAGTAAGAAGGGAGCAGCCTGGATCTGGGAAACATGCTGTGCACAATAAGCTAACGGCCATCACTATCTTCACCCCTCCCCCAATCCCACCTCCAAGGGACAAGGAACGAGAGCTGGGCCTGGGGAGACTCAAACTGGGTCTGGCCTGCTAAAGCCTGGATGCGTGGAGGCCTCGCTAATGGAACTGTGCCGCTATCTGGGTCTGTCTTCACGCCTACTACCGATTTAGCTCGTACCCTGATTGAATCCGAAGACCTTTCGTCTATTTTACTCGGCCCCGGCGGATCGACATGTGATAATTGCGAGCATTCTAATTAAAAAGGCTTCTGAACTCTGGAGGAAGAGATTTTGGAATCAAGTGTAATGATGGAGGGAGTGAGATATTATCAGTATGACGTGCTGAAGTTAATGTGAATCGGGTAAAATTTCAAGAGGAAAAAACTTAGGGATTTTTTGTGTTGGGGGAAAGCAATAGTGTATGGCTTTATAAGCACTTCAGGAACTAACTGTACTCCAGATGATTTAGCTAGGTCAAAAAAGCCATTAATCATCCAGCAATTTACTTCACTCTCACTTGGGTTTAAAATTAACACTCATAATAAAAAAAACAAAAAAAACAAATGCAAGTAAAAAATTGGCTTTGGAGAGCAGAGTGAAGGAATTACTCGCCAGTTGGACGGTAACTTTATTAAGAACTGCAGTTTCAAATGGTTTATGCCAAATTTTAAGAATGATTGTTTGACACATGCTGATGTAAGTGACATGCAAGATTCCAACCAAAACCGTATAAATGGTCTGCTAAAGAAAACTTCAGGTTGCTAAGCCTAGATTTTGCCCAGCTCTCTATGCGTGACAGATATATCCTAAAGAATAAAATGTCACATATATGGAATATTCCTCATATTAAAACACAAAAACAGGAAATAATCTGTTTTTCTGACAGGTACCATTATAGATGGTGACTGGCTGTATCAGAAATATGACTAAATATGAAACTAAATAATTTCACTGAAGTTATAAAATTCTAAATATATAAATCATGCAAAACATAGTTTAGTGGCCTGTAAGAAATATTCCCATATATATATATATATATATATATATATATATATATATAGAGAGAGAGAGAGAGAGAGAGAGAGAGAGAGAGAGAGAGAGAGATCATTTTAAAAACAAAGTGTATTGCAAAAAGTTGTTTTTGACCCTGCTAGTGAGGAATCTAAATGTTCCTGTAGTGCTTGAGGACCCAAAGCTTTCAGACATGTTGTCACACAGGCCATCTGTGTCGTGAGTGTAACACCTCTTCTTTCGTGAGCAAATTATCCTCTGTCCAACTCTTTGCTGACATTCCTCCTCCTAAGAGGTTTGATGACTAGACTGAGAGGATAGATAGATGGGAGATTATTAACCTAGCAGAGAGCAGCTCGCTGCTGAGAAATGGATAACCCAAAGCTTTCACCAGAGACATGTTGTCACACAGGCCATCTGTGTCGTGAGTGTAACACCTCTTCTTTCGTGAGCAAATTATCCTCTGTCCAACTCTTTGCTGACATTCCTCCTCCTAAGAGGTTTGATGACTAGACTGAGAGGATAGATAGATGGGAGATTATTAACCTAGCAGAGAGCAGCTCGCTGCTGAGAAATGGATAATAACCGGTGAAAGAGCCTGTCTTTACCTCACTGACAGAGGCTGAAGAGGCAACAAGGGGAAAATGGGATTTGACCTAAAACCAAAAGAGCTACAACCTTTGGCAACTCTCAGTAGGAGACTGTTTTAAAGGAGCTTTCAGATGAATTGTGCAAATTTGAAATGTCTGGCCAATATGGGATGTAGTTGCACTGAAGTTTATGTTGTTAAAAATCCTGTTCATTTTCTCTAAACTGGACAAAAAGACATGGTTAATGAATGTCTAAATAAATGGATGTAAAAGGATATAGAGAGGTAAAAGATGATGCTCACCCTGCGGCGTGATTCCTCGATGGCTGACAGCAGTGCATTGTCTCTCTCGTTCTTCAGAAAGCCCTGGAACAAGAGACACGGCATGGAGGTTAAACGTACTGCAACCTACTTTCCTCTTTTCTGCATGCAGAGCACATGCCCTCTCTTCCTTTCTCTCTCCTTGCCTCTATACTTCCTCCAAGGCGCAAACGCCACAGGCCAGAGATGGAGAATTGACATCATTATTGAAATCGCTGCTAAAAATATGCTTAGAATCGACTCTGTGCAAGAACACTCGCCCAAAATGGCCGCTCTCGACTGGTCAGAGCTGGATCAGCAAAGCTTTGGTTCACTACGTTCTCGAGTGTACTAAATATACTGCGCATTTAAGAAACACCACATTCATGCAAACACTTTGTGAACCACATTTCTTCACACAGAAGTCCATGGACAGGTATGGAAAATGTGTTTCAAACTGCTTGGTTTCCACCCATCTACCGCTCTCGGACTACTCTCTAGGACACTGACCGTTAAAACCAGACTAAACCCTGACTAGAATGTTACCCACTGGAAATCATAAAGCCAGCAGCTGCTTATATCTAATTATGGACCATAAACAACTAAAACGTCATCTTTTTTTCGATCACAGATGGAAAATGCACACATCAGTAACCTCCACGGATACACAAGCTACATTATCTGACTGGATGCCGAGTGTGCAGCTCGAATAACCTATATGAATGCACTAGGAGAACTGACAGTCACCACTGATAAGCTACCACTAAATATTGTAGAAACTTAAATTTGCTGAAAAGTTGCTTTGCAACTAATTGAATTGAATTTAACTAGGAGTGATCATACTTGATGTACAGCTGGGTAACGAACACTCACACACACCCGCATTTGTTTTGATTAAACACAGAACAGAAAGATCCAGCAGCTGATCCTGAGCACAGAGAAGTCACTGGAATGACGTGCAACACACACACATTTAGTGGGGGTTGGGATAGGGAGTGGTACTGATGGAAGGGGAAGCTGGTTCTGATGGGTTTGGAGGATCATCATAACGCTCAAAAGCCAATATTTGTAGGATGGAGAGAAATGCGACTTCTGAACTGGAACCTGCAACCACTGGCTTTTATTATTACAAAGATGGAGTCAAAAAAGCATCAGGCACATTTTCCAGGTTTGATTTTTACTGAATAAGGTCATGTCGTGAAAAACACACCACGTTATCGTCAAAGAATGAACATAGATTTGAGATGTTTCCTTGAATTTCATAATAAAATTGTTTTATTTTTAAAATTTAGATCCAGATCATCATTTACACCCTTTTTTTTATCCAAGTCTTCAGGATCAAGTTGAAGCCTGCCCTCCCTTCCCCCCAATGACTCCTTGCTCCTTTCCTTCCCCCTCAGAGATTACACGACCCCCATCACCCCATTCACACTCTGACTGACAGCTGTAAATGAGGATTGATTTATTCTGATTTGGGCAACGAGACGTCTAAATGACGCATCTGAATGAAAGAGCCGAGCTGATGGATACGGAAATGGAAAGTGGGTGGATGGGGGGAGTTTAAGGTGTGGGAGCAGCCAACATTTTATACTTAGCAGCACTATTTCTTGCTCAGTCACCCTTCCTCCAACTGCTAGCTACAGAACAGCGTCCCCTTCAGGCATCCACGCTCTGCATCAAGTACCCAAGATAAACTAGCTGACAAAAGGAACACATTTTACATGGATGCATTTGGGTCATGCCTTAACAAAGAACATGCTTACTACATACTGTGAAGTGTGTCATCACATTTGGCATTTTTTAACATTATTTGTCACATCGAATAGAAAAAAACTTCTCAGAAGAGATCAGATGTGCAATTCATACCAAACTACGTGTATATCTTTTCTGATGAATCTTTTGAATCATCTGACCACAGCAAAATAAATGTGTGACTAAAGGCTGCCAATAAAGCAGCTAGATAAAGTGCAGATAACATAGGTTGAAAGGGGAGGTTTCAGTATCCCATACAATTAAGCACCGTGTATTTCTGGAAGATTTAAGGTGCAGCAAATATTGAGCGAGTTTGATTTGGATAAAAACGGTGCATCACGATGAGCAAAAGACGTCATTACTATAGGAAGCACATACATGTTCAGTAAAGACATTGTAATGTATGCAACAATATAGAATTCATACATGTTCATGATGCACACACCTTCTTGTTGATTTACATACATTTTGAAATCAGGTATAATGCATTTTTAGCAACATATAGCAGGAAATATGACATGGATTGGCATCGAATGCACGCTGTATTGAATGCAAGCTGTACAAAAGACATGCATACATGCGCTAACCGAACCCACAGCATTTCATTTAAACTCAAACACCCCCCCTCTAGATCTATACATCCATCTTTTTCCTTTCCTATACTTCTGAACAATGAGAAGGAGTGAAGGAACCCCACCCTAACCCCACCACTTCCTGTGTGACAGACAAGCCTTCATCCTCCTCCTCGCCATCTTCATCATCCCTTTGGAGAAGGTGACAGTCTCATCTTTTGGGCTAAACTGACTGACCTGAGGCATACATACTATAGCGAGCCTGTCCAATGCATGTGCATGTAGGCGATACTCACTTATGCTCTGGTTTAACCTGCTGGGAAAGTGCTGCTGAGAGGTGAAAGTGTCTGGGAGCAGAGTGTCCATCCACTGCCCATGCCATCTCCGTCTTCCTTGTCTTGCAGAAGCGAGCCAGTGCATTTTTAGGGCGTTTCTGATTTCCTTCACCAGAGGCCCACACTGTCTCTGCCACATGCACTCTTCTTTACCTCAAGGCGGCCCAGTGGTCTGAACCTAGATATGAGCCACGAGCAGGGTTACTGTGGGCTGCTTTATTGTCGGAGGCGGAGCGTACCAAGTTGGCCCAGAGACACGGGGGGGAATCTGAGGAGAAGTCATTATTCAACCTGATCCATGTGCTTGTTCACCATCAGTCGTCCACCCCTCCTCCTCATCTCTCCTCCAGCATCCCTGCCAGCCTCCTCTTTCACTCTCACTCATTTCTTCCTTTTTTTAAACATCTCTGCATCCTTCCTTTTTCCTCTTGTGCTAGCGCAATGCAATTATGGTAATGGACCCCCACCACCACCACACACATACTCTCCTGATGGCTTTCGACATCCTGTCCAGAAACTGGGCTAATGATCCTCTTAAGAGTCATGTTTAATTAATGAGCAGAGTGCACTGACCAGAGATCAGACTCCTCACGTAGAGCTATTTACACGTATCCTGCACCTACTGTTGTGTGCGCTTAGATAATACACTCTAGTGCGAAGGCATGGTGCGGGAAAGACAGAAGTAAGCGGAAGTGAGAGTTAAAGAAAAAGATGAGATACATCATCCGATTCTGCGTCATTTTGCTCGGGTAGTGCATCTCCTTCCAGTCCATCATTTAAAGTGTTTGCTTTTTCATCTACAGAATATAAGCACCTAAAACATCCCTGCTTTTGTTCACCTTACTGTTGTGATGTTAAAATTAAAAATTATTTTATGTAGATTTTATAAAGGAAACATGTAGGTTGTAGAAGGCTGCACGTTTTCCCACACACGCAAACGCAGAAGGCGAGAGAAAGGCAAGAGACTACGCCTCATCAGCAGCATGCATTTCCTTTGTCTTCAGGCAGGCAGGCAGCTCGGGAGCCTTATGGAGCACACACAATATACAATTTATACACTCTGCCACCACCTCGCAGAGTCCATGCACATCTGGATGTCTCGGCACAAATGTAATGGTTCAATTCTGGGCACGGCACCTGCAGCATCTTTGTTTTATTCAGTAGAGGGTTTAATGCGATTCTGAACGTCTTTTCAATTGGAGACTGCAACGGCGGAGATACATCACGAGAATGAAGATGATAAATGGAAGAGCAGTTACACAAGTTCAACAAAAGGGAGATATTAAATCTCATAGCCCTTAAGAGTCAATCAGAGTTGTTCTGAAAATGCTAAAGAGATTTTCAGCCACACACACATTCAGGCAGGGAGGAAGGTGAGGAAAGTGCCAGGCAGTAAGTGCACTTCCAGTAAGAGCTGAGCCGCACTCTGGCAGGCCCACCACAAAAATATGTCTGACAAAAAAGACGATGGAGAGGTGGAGGAGGGATAGAGTCAGTGAGAAATAGAAGGAGAAGAGATAAGCAGAGGAAAAGATGGGTGGGGGTAGACGACTTCGAACCTTCAAGAAGCGAAAACCAAGTGGATCATTACACGACTTGAGGAGTCAAAAGACAATTTTCTATCTTCATTGATAACATTCAAACAAATGAAAATACCTCTATCTTTTATGGTCAGAAGTAATTGAGGACATCATCCAGTTGCTACCAACAAGACACATTATGTGACCCTGGACCACAAAACCAGTCTTAAGTCGCTGGGGTATATTTGTAGCAATAGCCAAAAAAACACTGTATGGGTCAAAATAATAGATTTTTCTTTCATGCCAAAAATCATTAGGATATTAAGTAAAGATCATGTTCCATAAATATATTTTGTAAATTTCCTACTGTAAATATATTAAAACTTAATTTTTGATTAGTAATATGCATTGCTAAGAACTTTTTTTGCTCCCTCAGATTACAGATTTTCAAATAGTTGTATCTCTGCCAAATATTGTCCTATCCTAACAAACCATACATCAATGGAAAGCGTATTCATTCAGCTTTCAGATGATATATAAATCTCAATTTCGAAAAATTGACCCTTATGACTGGTTTTGTGGTCCAGGGTCACTTATGTTAAATGTCACCTGTACATTTTGATGGGTGTGGCTGAGTGATTGTCCAGAAATGTCAAACTTCTCTCTTTCGATTCTGAGAGAAAAAAAAAACTGTGTAAAAAACAACAACTGATGTGTGACAAAGCTTAATTGTCACAAAGCTTATCATTCAGAGATGGCGGGCAGCGCTTCGACACAATTCCTAGTTTGAATCCCGACTTGTGGTCTTTTTTGATCCTGTTCCCCGCTCTCCCACATTGCTTGCTGTCTGTTCTGTATTATACAAATGAAGCCAAAATAAATCTTTAAAAAAAATGATGATCGTATTGTTCTTCTCATACAGGCTGCAGAAATGGCCTCGTCTCTTACAGCATTTGGATAATCAATAATTTAGATCAATGTTTCCCAATCTTATGTACACAGCCCTTCAGTAAGACATAAACTGGCCCTTCAGTAAGACTCATAATATCTATATATCAACATAAAACCACAAAAGTGCTCCTTTTAACTCATATTATACCGGACATCATTTAGCATCATTATTGATATTGTTAAAGATCCACTGAAGTGCCTTGAAACGTGCAGCGTTATTCTATAAGCTGACGTAATTTCAACTGAAACAGGAAGACAGGGCAGGACATATTGAGCAGCCCTGCCCCCTTTTTTAAATAGCCAATAGCGTTTTGTTTATATCACAGCTTGGTAAAGCCACATTTGACAGTTTATGACAGCCGCAGTCTAACAGATTACCCCTTTAGATTCAATATGAATTCAATGTTACTAAACATTGCTGTTGCTATATTGCACCGGTGTTATCTCTTCTACACGTTAGTGCTGTTTGTCTAACCTTTTCTCCTCCTAATCTCATCCATATCGCTATAAAATATAGCATGCTGTGTTGAATTCATATCGGTCTAATACGTTTTGTGGTCTGCGCCGATTCACGCATATGATCCGCTCTGTGCTATCATGTCTCTGGACCACAGACTGTGTGCACGCTGCGGCGGTTCGCTTGATACAGTGCGAAACCACACTTATTTTGCCTCAATGGAAAGCATATTTACACTGTCTGAATCGTTCCCTATCCCCTATATAGTGCACTACGTGCCATTCACCATACACAAAATACTAACTCTGTGAACAAGTGACCAATTTCAGCCGACGAAAGACTGGCATAGTGAAACAATCGTGGCGATTTCTGTTTTCGTGGCTTCTAAATTGTGGTCCTATATCATACAGTGAGAGAGGTTCAAAGACGGCCGTTGTCACAGTCTTTCGATCAAAGATAGCCTACGATCATTTTCTGACAGTGTCAGAAATTCAGCATGATCTCCAGCTGGAGTGCCCATGAACTCTACCAGAGGGCACTCCACCCCTGACTCTTGCCACTCTCACAGACTATATTTCTCATAATCCTTTGCCAGACTCATCACGTCTTGCATTCACTTGTGTCTTGTTACCTCTGTCAGTCTTACCCTATTTAAAGCCTGTTTTTTCACACATTCAGTGCTCAGTAGTGTTAGCTTGTAGCGTTACCTAGTTCCCGTGTTTCCCAGTTTCCTTGTTGCCTTGCCTTGTTGTTTGATCCCTGGACTGTTTCCTGGTTTCTGATTGTTTGCTGCCTGCCCTGACCTTCGCCTGTTTATTGGAATATTCTTTTGTTGTTTGACCCTGCTTGTTTTCACCACTCTTGGAATAAAGTCTGCACTTGGATCCACTACTGCGTTGTCACACCTCCCTACATTACAATCGCAGTGTGTTTGCTGCTACGACCCATGTTTACAGTACAGCCGATAAAAATGCGACATGAAATCAACGCGACATGGCGCTAAAACATAAAACTGCTTACCTCAAGCTCTTATCCCTTCCTCTTTTGCCGCTTCCAATTTTTTTCAGCACACATAAAAACTACAACTGCCAAAATGTGATTCATTATGCTCTTTTTGTTTACCACTAGCGCATGCTGATTACATTTTTCTTCTATAGTAACATGCGTCGAAGCCTACGAGTCACCAGGTGTCATCATCGTACAGTCTGCATATGTCGTACCCAAGTTTATCAGATCCATGTCGCACAATGTGATTTGCAATGATTTTATAGGATTGCTAAAATCGTGCAGTGTGTAGAAGGCTTAAGAGACGTTTGGAATGCTTATATCTTCTAAACACAAATTTTGTCATTGCTTTGGAGCACACTAACTTATAGATAAACTGAAGGCTAATATATTCATTCTAAAAACAAAAAACTTCCATTTTGATCTCATGGGGACTTTAAAACTGCATTTATTACAATCACTCAGTTTAAAACTTCAGACAATCGATACTGTGGCTAAAAAACAGACTCATCAAGTAGCTTCCTTTCAAACTGAAGCACTCTGAGAAATAAGGATGATATTTTACAGATAAGACAAGTTTTACAGAGCACTGCTGCAAAAATCTGCCTCTGTCCAGAGTCATTTATTTTTTTAAGACAGATTCATGATGAATATTTTGACCGCTGTTTTTTTTTTTTTGCCAAAATTTGTCATTCATCTTTTGTCGAATTAATAAAGCAAAACTGATATCTTCCTCAATATGGATTAAACTTTGTATCAAAACTCTACTGCACATAACAAATGGCTCAAATTCTAAAAATGATTTGCAGCACAATAAATGGAGTGACAAAAGCAGTTAAGCCAACAGGCTTTTGTTTATGTCAAATCCACTTCAACATTCAAGTAAGTGATATATTACTTCCTGTGATTTTGTGTAAATACATTTAGGTCACTACTTCACAGCATTAAAATGTATAACGTTACACACAGGAAAAGTATTTACATATTTGCCACTTAGGCAGTAAAATCTCTCAGGAGCTAATTTAAGCATAGTACAATCATCTCACTATGTCATGAGGTGCAGACATGGACGAAAAGCCTCAAGACGACTCCAGGTTTAATTTCATGTGGTTTAGCAGCTCATTGTTGACTTCACTGCTGATTCCTGGCTCTAGTGAGCTCACTATAATTCACTAAACCTGTGATATCATAATGCAGTCACTATAAACACCACCCTTCTGTCCCTCTCTGAACCCACATATTCGTCTTTTGCTGGTTTGTGTACCAGAACAGTTGCAATGCATGAATTTATATATCTGAATCTACAAATCCTCTGGTATCAGCAGCGTCCACAGGGGGGAGTAGTAATCACTGTTATGTTTCAGGAAGTCAGGAAAACATCACTGTTCAAATGGGATTTTTCATTTTCATATTTAGTTTTTTAAAATGTACAATAGTAGCTGTCAGTGAAAACACTTAACTCTTAAGATGTAATGCTCTTGGCTGTGTAATTTCAATGTTTGATTGTTGAAACAAGTTGAATTGATTTGCCGCACTCACATTTTCCCACGTCACGTCTCTTGGCCATTAGGCCTGCTTTATTCTTACAGATGCACTTAGAACTGAATTCAATAATAACCCATTGCCACAGCAAAGTCACACCTTAGCAAACTGACATATTATAATCCAATTCACAGCATGCACTGTAGAATTTCTAAAAGCTGTGCACGTAACCTGCCTTCACAAATGCCCAAATCAAAATAAACAACAGGTAATACATAGGTGTGTGATACACACAAGTGAAGCAGCACTAAGAAGCAATGATAATACACAAAAACATGAACAGCAGAAAAACTTGTTGCCATAAAGATAAACGCATACACATGGACTGAGAGCCATTATACCAACCCTGTCTCTCAAGCTCAAGTTCAAGAAAACAGCATAGTGCTAATTATAAATGGGCTGAGTGTGGAGATTGTTTAAATGTTTATTTGGCCTCAACTGAGGCAGTCATGCAGGATGCCTCATCAAACTATTAAGACGACATTGCTGAGTACATCACTAACAGGGAAAAGCAATAATAAAAGCTAAAGGTTTGGGGTTCAGTATTTATTTACTTATTCTCTTTAAAGAAATTAATACTTTAAATTGTGCAAGGATGCATTAATTAAAATTGACAGTAACACATTTATAATGTTACAAGAAATTCTATTTCAAATAAATGCTGTTTTTTAATTTTCTACTAATCAAGATACTGAAAACATATCACGGAAACTTATTTAAATATATTTCAAATTACAAAAATTTGATGTATTAGACCAGCACATTTGTATTAAAATGGTGGAATAAAGCTCCATTTTACTATCAGTATACATGTTTAAAATGTAAAAAAGGAGGACAATGATAGACAGCAACTCTCAAAATAAAAAAAGATGTAACTTGCTTTTCTATCTAAGAAACTCCATCACAATGCAATATTCAAGTAAATGTGCTAACTGTTGGATCTCCTGTAGGTTTCGCTCAACATGGGGCAACTCAGACACGGCCTCAGTCTCTGCAGCAAGCTGTTCTGCCTGCTGCAGGAGTTCCCCAAAGCCCTCAGTATCCATGTCCAGTACCCGTGCCACCTGACAGCATCACGAAAGAGTATGTCTATATTACATGGTGACATGCATATCATTTGTCTTCAGTATGCAAGTTAACACAGTAACTAACTGTTAGCAAATTATCACTTACTACAGCTCTTGTCATTACAATAACACTGAAAGAAACTCTAAAAGCTTATTATATTGCCAAACCTACAATTTGAAGGCCATTCAATGTCAGTTTATTATGATTGTACAGTAGTAACTGTGGGATTTTCACAGAAATTACATACCATTATCATGTTAACTTTGGGATGCCAGTGACATGATTAACTACAATTAATAACGTCAAATAAGCTGTATCATTACGTACTCATTTATTTAGCATACTATCTTCTATGAAATGGGACATAAAAGCACACAATATCAGTATAACATCGAATGAATGTTAGCATGTGAAACAACAGTAGTCAATAGAAATGACTGTCACTTGCTAGCAAGCTAACTTGACATGAGGTGCTGCTGGCAAACGCGTCCCAAACAGACACCTGTCAAATGAGACTTCAGTTAACTAGCTGTTAACTAGGTAATTAGTTAACAAATATGTAACAACCCACCTCGCTGAATGTGAATCCTTATAGCGGCTATAATAGGATGATTTCCACTTCAGCCGCTATGCTAAACACATCCCCCTCGTGATCTCCCGGGTTCCATTGAGAACGCGCGCTGATTGGTTCAAACTGTTTTTTCCCAGAAGCACGCGCGACTCGATAGAACTTTATTCAGAATGTTTCTGTTTACAAAAAATTATATCAGTGACTGAATTTCAGTAAGATAAGACTTGGAAAACCATTTGACTGAACCCTGACGGTGAAGATACCGCGATGTCCAATATACTTGATATATAATGTGCATATGATAAATAATTAAGTGATATACAGTGTTACTGTAATAATATTACTTTTTGCAGTAACTAGTAGTGTAACTATTTACTAATAAGATTTCAGTAATAATATTACAGTTACCATCCATAAAACAGCTTAGTTACCTCGTTTCTTTTGATGCCTCAACCCCGCTGATTTAAAATCCAACAATCAAATAATTCCTAGATTTATTTTCATAATTTTCACGACTCGTACATGCATGTGATGTCCCCAGTGCAGCAGGCAAGCTTGGAATATGGAAACGCTTACATTCAGCAGATAGAAATATTGCATTATGTCGATTTTGTCAGGAAAAAAGATGATCTGAACACTATTGTATAAGTTGTGGCTTTACATTACTCTGGCATTACATTCTTTGAGTAACTAGCCCAACACTGGTGATATATGAAGTATAATATAAGTATTATAATTATTATAAATAATAATACTAAATTATATTAATTGAATTAGTATAATTTATTTATACTAATAAATTGTACTACTAATAATACTAAATTATACTGATATTAAATTCATATTTCCTATCATTACTTACTCCATGAGGATATATCATGCAGCCTGTCGGATCCATGTTGGCATCTGCTTCATTTAACTAACAAACGAAATGTACCAAAATACAGACATTTAGACCCCCTTCTGGTCTAAAGTATAGACATTTTTCTTTCTAGTGCAAGCTCCATACATTTAGTTTTTTTTTATTCTTAACTACTTGTCACAAACTCACAAAACAAAAGTGCAAAAGTCGTTGAAATTCATTGATTTTGATTTAGTCTATTAATCAGAATCAGAATCAGAATCAGAATGAGTTTTTATTGCCAGGTATGTTTACACATACAAGGAATTTGTTTTCATGACAGAAGCTCCACAGTGTAACAGAATGACAGTGACAGAACAAAAACACAGATAATAAAAAATAGAAAAATAGAACGTAAATAAGGAATAAAAATATACAAATCGACAATTAAAGGGGTGATGTTGCTAAAAAAGAACATTCTTTTGTGTATTTGGTGTAATGAAATGTTTATGCGGTTTAAAGAGGTCATATGATGCAATTTCAAGTTTTCCTTTCTCTTTGGAGTGCAACAAACTGTTTGTGAATAGATAAGATCCCTAAAGTTGCAAAGACTAAAGTCTCAAACCCAAAGAGGTATGCGATAAGACGCCTTGTTTAAACACGCCCCCACATGTCTACGTCACTGTGTGGGAAGATTTGCATAACACCGCCCAAATGTTCACGCAAAGAAAGAAGGCGTAACTTTGATTCTCGCTGTAGTATTGTTGCCGTCGCCGCCATGTCATGGAGACGCTGTGTGTTTTGTTGTGAAAGCGAAACTACTTTGTTTGGCCTTCCAAAAGAGGACACGACTAATAATCAGTGGTTAAGTTGTATTTACAACACTGTTCCAGAACAGTT